TCCACATAATTTTGATGAGTAATGTTAAGAAACGGGACTGGGGTGCCTCTATAGCTCAGTGGCAGAGCGTCTGTCTCGTAAACAGAAGGTCTGCGGTTCAATGACCGCATGGAGGCAAAAGGGCTTCTAGGCTAGAATTCGAAGTGAGGATAGTGTAGTAGATGTGTTACATCTGCTTACTTGGGTTCTAAGCAAAAAAAAAATCATGCATTTCTTTATCATGATCGGTCGTCAGTAAACCAGTAATTAACTTCATTTGTTTTAAGCCGTATGGAGACCTTCACCATGGTGCATTACGTATTCTCGGCAACATAATCACTGGAAATGACATGCAAACAGCAGCAGTTGTGGCCCATCCACGTTTCTATGACATCCTGGTGAGAACATGGGAAGACTCTGGAACCTGACGGGCATTGTACGGAAGACGCAGGGACCACGAAAACTATTAAACATTTGATTGCAGCCTTTTTTGCGGAGAAATCCGGATAAAGAAAAAAATTCGATGACTTTTTTGTGATCTTAAGAGTCAGTAGTTCTTTTCGGCGCTGTTTGTCCTGTTACTCCTGTACCAAAATTTCAAGAAAAAAGGAAATTTTGCCGTATCTTTGTCCTAAAGGTTGCATGGATCACGAAAATCAGCAAAGCAAAATCAGCAAAACTCTCCACATTGAAATTGCCATCCTACTTCAGAATTCTTCTTAAGATTTTCACATGAAAAGAATCTCCAGGAGCTGCTGGTCACAGTGGTGTACGTGATTCCGTGCAAAACAGCCAAAAAATCCGTTTTCGAGCTCCATTTCCTGGGGAGCTTGTGGGCGGAGCCAGGGCGGGTGGACGAGGCTCCTGAAGAATGTACTCGCTGGAGCGCATCTTCTGACGAAATTCGTACTTCTCGTTGAGTTTTTCATAATCTACTCTCTAACCGGATAGGAACTGCATTTCAGTTGTGACCAGCAAGAGAGTACACGATGTGGGAACCATGCCCCCCCCCCCCCCCCCCCC